CATTCAAGCAGAAGAAGGAGGATGGTTAGAAGCTTGATGGGTGGAGAAGGGAAGGAAGGCTGGATGGCACTCCACATGGGTGGGAACTGGTTTAAGAAGAGAAGAGTATGTTGAGTTGGAGAAAAAGCAGAGAAACAGTGGAAGAAAAGTCTGCAAAGGGAGGCTGTGGGCACCTTGAACAAAACCCTGGATTCCAGACTAGTGCATAATCACAGAGGATCCAAAGAAGGTTTTTGAGTGGGAAAATCACATAAAGCATCCTTGGGCCAATCCTGTCTCACTAATGGTGAAAATGAGATTGCCAGATATGACATCAGAGTGTCCTGCCAAACTGGCAGGACCAGAATCAAAGCTGAGCTTTCCAGGATAGCAGGTATTTCCTGGGACCACTCTTCTCAAACATACATATGTATATGTTCTTGGAGTGACTCACCGTTTACTTCCAACTACACTTAGGAGACACGACTAGCTCTTTCTCCTCTGAGAATTTTTCATAGCATTCTGCTGAATAATTTGTCTTGGACACATCCAATGTCTTTCATCTGAAGATCTTAAGGAGACTTAATGACAACCAAGGTTCATTATTTCTGTTTGGTGTATGAGGAAACTGACTCACACAGGGGTACGGCAATTTTCTCATTCATGCTGGGAGTTATTACCAGAACATGAATGAAACTGAGGTCGAAACTCTATTTTATAAACCATTAAACCCTGTATCCTTTATAGTAGAGGAGTTTACAAAAATAATGACAACTTTGTATTGAGAGCTCATTCCTTTATTCTGTTATTGAATCCTGGCTTATGTAGGGCAGAAGCATCTTGCTGTAATGCCGGCTTGAGTTGTTTTGCAATATGAATTGAAGCAAGATGGGAAAAGTTGTTCTGTGTTTTGGTGATGCCCAGACCATTTAGAGCTCAGTGTTTTCATCCATCCATCCATTCATTAATTTACTTATTCATTCCATTATCATCTATCTGAGTCCCCATTATATCATCTGGAAAATGGGCATTGTAATATCATCATTAGTGAAAGGCTGCTTTGTGAAGTAAGGTAATTTTTATAAAGCACAGAGTAAGCCCTTACATGTAATTTTAATTACCATTAAACAATTGCAATTGCCACATAGAAAGACAAAGAATTGGTCCTTCATAGCCCCACTTCTGGGTGGAGAGGGTAAGGGTGCATTGAAAGGGTGGATTAATCCTTAGGGAAGAGGAAGATTCCTCAGATTCAAAACTGGGACGGAGCAGATGGGTCTCAGGTAGACCAGAGCGAGGATGCTGGGTAGTAGATGCTAAACTGACACCAACCATTTAAAATGGCCTGCAAATGATGAGACAGGAGAGAAACTTCATATGAGACTCATATGAATGATGGAGGTCCTAAACCGTGCAGATCAAACTAGTAGTGGTAGAATAAAAGCCGTTATACACTGATTAGCCAAGATGTTTAAGTGCCCTCTATCCTCTGTGTTTATTTCTCTATTACTCTCCCCTGGTACTGAGTTGTGTTCAAGTGCCCACCTGTTCTACTTGTACTCAGGACACATCAGGGACAGTGTTAAAAAGGAAGGAGCCAAATCGGGATAGTCGCGGAGGAGCAGGGAGCCCTCTGAGAAAGGCAAGCACAGGGAGACCCTCTACTATGGCTCATTGGGATGAAATAAGTTTCATATTATTAGGAAACTGCCATTTCCCTACCACCTATTGCAATTTCAGTCTTCTTTGTGCCCTAAAGACTAGGTTTAAAATCTCTCCCAATCCAGACTCAAAGTCCAGAAGTAGTAAAGGAAAATATTGGTAGATTTGACTTCATAAAAGAGAAAAGCTTTTGTGTGACAAAGGATATCGAAAACAAAGCTGAAATACAAGGAAGAGGCTGGAAGAAAATGTTGGAACGCTATAACACATATTTTAACATTGTATTATAACAAGGCGGAATATCCATCATGCATAAAGAGCACCTATAAATCAGTAAGAAAAAGGTAAATCCAATGGACCAAACATGTAAATGGTAATTTCAGAAGAAACAGAAATACAAAATACTAATCTCTGGTAGTATTGAGGGAATGCAAATTAAAACAAGACGCCATTTTGTTTGCCTATCAAATTGCAAAAATTAAAAAGATTTATAATATTTAATATTGGCAAAAGTAAAAGGAAATTGGCAATTTCTTCTACTGATGGTGAGAATGTGAACTGGTGTAGTGTTTTTAAAGACAGTCTGGCAGTACTGCCTATCTACCTACTCTTTGATACAATTTCACTTTTAGACATATATACTATTTAAAAATGTCCACAGGAAGGCAGACCTAAAAGGCTGTCAACTGTGACAATGTTTGCGACAGTGAGAAAATACTACCATTTATTGTGCGTCAGCACTGTTGAAGCACTTTATAACAAACAGTATAAGGAAAATGAGACACAGGCAGCTGGGGTGCAGAAGTGGCGGGACTGTAACCCAGGCAATTTGCGGAATCTGCTCTCTCTAGACAGTAAATGAAGGTGTGATACATTTATATTATGGAATATAGTGTAGAAGTTCAAGGAATGAGTAGATCTCTGTACAGGCATGGAGGCATTTCTAAGATTATTAAAAAGGGGGAAAAATCAAGTTGCAAAACACTATGATATGGTATAATGCCATATATGTGGAAAAAAGATACATATGTGTATATACAAATACATATGTATGAGAATATATAAAGGCCTTGAATGATAAGAGAATGTGTACGTAGGGAAATTTGGAAGACTTAATTTTTCAAGGTATGTTCTCTATATTTCTGGTTTGTTTGAACTTTTGTAAGATACATCTGTGCGTTTCTTTGGTGAAACAAGAATTGTTGCGTTGACTTCCCCACTTGCCCCAAAATACTTAACTCATATCAAGAGATAAGTCCTTTTTTTCTTCCATGTAGACAGTGTTGCAGGTCTTGGGTAAAAATTTTATATCCTATGGTTTTTTCTAGCCTATGTAAATGAACATATGTATAATGTGCATACGATCTGTACCTTGTTGATCATCACCTTTTTCTTTCTAAATTAAGGTTTCCATGTCCAGTATTTGGGATCATGGCTTCCTGTTAGCCTATCAGGCTCCATAAAAATATATAGCCAGTCACTGAAAATTAATTTAGAACCTGACAACTACCTGGTGCTCCTTTTTCCTTGCATATTATACTGTCGTCAGGGAAAAGGATCCTTAATCGTGGGTTATCTCATAATTCTGCTCCGAGGCATAAACAGGAGTCTAGTTCCCTCTGTCCTCTCGGTGCTGTCTGAGGAGCTATGAATGAGTCACTCAACATACAGACTTAAAGGACTTACCTTCTCACCAGGAGTCAGTGTTAGAACCTGAATGGAAAAAGCTATTGGATCCTCCAGGGCTTCTTCCTGCTTAAGCCTAAGTGAGGGTGGCTTTACCACGAAACGAAAGATGTGATTAAACTTACTGATTACAATACTACTTTTACAAGGTTAGTGCTTTAGAACTCAGTTGCCTATCTGTGGGCTTATCGCTGACATGCCAGTGAGAAAGGTTCTTGAGATTTTTACAACTTAATGGATATCAGACTGTAGTTTTCTTTGAAGTGGTCCATCTGTCTTAGCATAGTTTTTCAATTTTTGAAATTTTAATGTTTTCTTAAGCATCTTCACAGAAAAAAAAATCCCACTTAAAAACGACTGCAGTCTCATCCAATTCTTAAAGCTGCTAGCTTTACAGTTTTAAATAGTGTGTGCATATTATTTTGTATTTGTTGTTTCATTTAAACTTATTTGCCAAACATCTTTTTATGTACTTGCCAAAATCTCATGTGCTTGATGTGAATTCTGCACACCTGCCAGGATTTTTTCTGTTGTGACAAAGCTTGTTTGGATCATTCCCCGACTGTTGGACAATTGGGTCCACTCCCAGGTTTTGGTCATTATGAACATTCTGAACAGCCCTGCTATAAACATCTTTATGCAAGTTCTACCCCCTACCCCCCTCTTGGATCATTTCCTTAGAAATGCACTTCCTTAAATGGCTTTACTGGGTCAAAGGGGCTCAATGAACAGTTTTATAGCTCTTGGCACATATTTTTCAGATTGCGCTCTGGGTGCATCTGACCAATGGCATGGGCCGCGAGAGGGCAGGAATGTGGAGGAGCAGCCCCTATAATCGCCCCTCTTCCGTCCCCCAAAAGGCGAGGACCTCAAGAAGGTCTTGGGATGGAAAGCATTTTTCTATCGCCCGTTTGTTCTCTTCATGAGTGGTGTTTAAGCCCAGTCTGGGACAGGACTGTTAGGGACGCGCAGAAAGGTTTTCGGAATTTCAGGACTTCTGCCCTGGGGGCGGAAACATTTCTTCCTGGCCCTCCTGCCCCGGGACCAGGATTCCAGGGTTTCCGACTTCCATTGCATACCTTCCCAGCCTTTCCACTAAAATCTGCGTAGCCCACGCGGGCCTCGTGCAAGCTCAGGGCTCTGCAGGCGAGAGCAGCGACTGGAGGTCGCTATTATTTGCGCGGGTGATGCAAGGCCCGCATAGCTGCGCGCTGAGTCAGCGGGCGGCGGGGTCCGGCCCGTCTCCCCTCCCCCCGGGCGCGGCGGCTCGGGATCCGGCGGTGGGGGCGGGAGGCCGGCCTCCGAGTCCGGGGGTCGTCTGCCAGGGCAGGGGCGGGGATGGGGGCGCGGGCGGCGGGGAGCCGAGCCGGGAGCTCGCCCGAGCCCCGGGCGCGCTCGCCCGTCTTCCAGCTGGAGCTCGGCGGGTCAAGTGAGGCGGTGACCGCGCGCCCGGCCGTTTACCCTCTGAGAACTCAAGGAGGGGGCGGAGGCGGGGAAGGAAGGAGGATAAAAAAGGAGAAATGCGACGCGGAGCACACAGGAGGAAACGAAAAAATGGAGGAGAAGGGGCGAGGGGAGGCGGAGGCCGGCGGGACGGGGCGGGGGCGCGCGCGGGGCGGGGCGAGCGGGGGCGCGCGCCGACGGCCGCGGCCCGAGGGGCTTGTGGGTAGCGGCTGCGCGCGGCCGGAGACGGCGCCGCGCGGGTGTGCGTGAGGGGAGCGGGCTGGTGGGACTCGGCGGCCGGCGGCGGTCATGGGGCACGGCGGGCGGCGGCCGTAGGTGTCCGAGCCTGGGCTTCAGCCCCCCGGAGCCGCAGAGGGCGGGGCGGTGCGGGCCCGGCGGTGGCGGCGCCGCTTCCCAGCTCCCGCCCTCACAGTCCGGAGGGAGCTCGCGGCGGACTGGTGGACCGGGCGGCGCGAATCTGACTGAGGGGCGGGGACGCCGTCTGTTCCTCGCCGCTCCCGGCCGGGCCGGCCGGCCCCTTGGACAGCCCCAGGCCCCGGACCTGCGTTGAGACCCGCAGCGGGGCTAGAGGCGGGCGGTGGGCCCGGGCGGAGCCCCGCCCGGAGCCGGCGGTTCGGGGGCGGCGCTAGGCCCCGAGGCGGCCGGGCCGGAGCGCGGGGAGCGGGAGTGCGGGCCGGGCGGCAGCGGCATGAGCCGGCCCCCGCCGACGGGGAAAATGCCCGGCGCGCCCGAGGCCGTGCCGGGGGACGGGGCGGGCTCGAGCCGCCAGAGGAAGCTGGAGGCGCTGATCCGAGACCCTCGCTCGCCCATCAACGTGGAGAGCTTGCTGGTAAGTGGCCGGAGCCCCGGAGCCCCCCGCGCTAAAGGCTTGTACCCCGAGTCCCCCTGTGTGGTTTGCATCCGTCGTGGGGAGGTCTTGCCCAGCCTCCGGCAGTCGAGGCGCAGGTCGGAGACCGACACTTTTGTGACCTGAGTTCCAGGAGTAGAGACCCACCTTTGATTCTTCCCTGACACCTCCCGGAGCTGGCGTCATCCCCGGCTGCCTGTATTTTGGAGCATTGGCTGGAAATACCACTTCTCTTCCCGCCTGTCCTCTCGGTTTGGGGAGGTAGGAGGGCGCATTTGCTGCCCTTCATAATTAAACGAGTCAATTTGAAAGAGTGTCATGCTGCGGGGGACGTGGGTCCAGGCGAGGGAGAAAGCTGATGCTGTTCCTACGGGGAGGACCCACCGGGGGTACATGACAAAGAACTGCCCTCACTCTTTCCATTAGGCTGAAATCTTGAAACACATAGCTAAAGTTTTCCTGTTTTCAGTTGTCTTTGAGTAGTTATAGCTGCAATTTGGTGCATTTTGATTTCTGTAAATTCAATTTCCCGAGATTATTTAGCCAGAGCTAAAGAATCAACCTGAATTGTAGAATGGGATAAATCTTCTCGTTTTCATTGTATCCCTTTCCTAAGATGACCTTTGAAATCCAAATTAATAGCCAGGTAAAGTCTGCTGGTTGGTTCTTAATTAAGAAAAGAGCATGTTTTACAGATTAGAAGTTTACTGTAGAATGTTTCCTTATTTTTGTTAGGATAGGCGATTGTATTTCTTCACAAGATTGGTTAGTGTGTAGTAGAGACGCGTTTATGGGAAAAAGGGTGTGTATTTTTACCCTGGCTAGGAGAAGAAAGGGAAAAAGATGTACTGGAGGACCAGAATTCGGGTGGGTGATCCTTGGATCTTTTAAATATTCTCTATTAGAAGTTGCGTTCATATTTGGGAGAAACCTGTTTGGAGAAAAACCTAGTGACTGTATGGTGAGAAAACTGTCTTCCCTTTCCAGAGCCTGACTTTTCTTAGAAGCCGTTGGTTATCCTTTGAGGTTTCTGGATTCATTTGTGTAGTGACTCAGTGTTGTTTGACCAAAATGCAGGAATTGACTAGAGTGCATCTTTCTGTTCAGGGCGCAGAATGTAGTCATGTACTGTATTCTTTCAGACATGTTTAACGTTTTCTTTTACTGGTTTTCACACTAGTGTGTTGTTGGTGTGTTTCTCATGGGAATGTGACACCTCGGTCAGTCTTTAGTAGGAGTCTTTATTTGGGGATAGCGGGTAGGATTGGTTTGCATGAAGGGCATAGCTTTGCCTAGGCCAAAGCCAAGACTCTGGGCTTCACTCCCAGCATTTTCACTTTGGTATTTTGCTAGCAAGACTTTGACCTATGGCCAGAAAGTTCAGTTAAAAATAGTACAGCAAATCTCAAGTATTCATCAGATTCATACTCAATCCCAGATAGAAATTTTTTACACATCACTTTCATCTCTTTGATCTTTACTGATGTTAGTCATAATTATTAGGGTCATTCAGAGCTTGAGCCTAAACTCTTTATACATGTAATATGACGATAATTCTGTTAAATTAAAATAAAATTCGGTTTATTACAGTATTTTCTAAATTATTAAAATGAAGACTTTTTAAAAATGAAACATTACACATGCTCAGTAAACAGTTTGGTCCATTAATTTATTGAGTGCCTAATACAGCCAGGATACTTTTATGCTTTTATTAAGGTGACATGTTACTGGTATGAGAGTTGACATCAGATGCTGCTGACTGGACAGACTTTATTATTGCTGTTTTTATTACGGTTCTGAGTTGCAGGGAATCGTACCAGGCCAAAATTGTCTCTTTACTCTTTTCTTTGGAGCAGGTTTACTGGTGCTTCTGTTCTAATTGAGGAGCTGTTTTAAATTATGCCTATTTTATTACATGAAATTGTAAACTCAACTTTTTTTATTGTGGTAACATACATGATGAAATTTACCATTTTAACTTTTTTTTAAAGTGTACACTTCAGTGGCATTAATTACATTGTCATTTTTGTTATGTCATCACTATCTGTCTCCAGAACTTTTTCATCTTTCCAAATAGAAACTCCATGAATTAATTTTTAAGATAGTGTTATAAAAAACATACTTCCTGACATACTGATGAAATAGTGGCTGGGATCACTTTAAAGATTTGAAACTGAACATTCAGCCTGCATGTTGCAGTTGATCATTGTTTTAATGCTTATGGTATTTCTTTCAGTTTTACTATAGAAAACAAATATTTTTTCTTTAACAGAAAACTTAAAGTGATATTATAGTCCAATAAAACACAGCTATGAATCTTAGTTATTTCATTCAGGAGCTCAGAAAGTACCATTTAAAATTGTATACTGCTTAAGATGATGTAAGTGAGATAAAGAAATTACTGTATAATTATTCAATAGGCCTAGGCCTAGAAGAAGGTAAAGCTATTTGTAGGAAAACATTTTACATGAGGTAGCATGCAAAGTGCTTAGCTCAGTGCTTGGTTCACAGTAGCGCTCATTAAATTTAGCGTACTTCTGTGTGCATTTAGCATATGTTTAGTTTATTGCTTTAAGTTTCCTTTGAAAAGGAAAGTGGTTTTTACTGGCAACTATTTCTCACTGTATGATGCTGAATAAGTATCATTATCATCTGAATTTGCCATCAGAAAATGTCAGCTGTCATCAAGCAGAGAGAGCTGGATCCCAAGACTGTCAGTGTAAAGAATTGTCTTTCATTCTTTGCAGAGGCCTTTTCCTTTATGTTGGTCCTTAAATTATTCTGAAGAGTATATATCCCTTCTGTGATTGTAGATTGTGAGCAGCTTGGCATTGTTTCAAAACAGAGTTGAGAGACATTTGCTTCTGTAATACTTTTTCTTTCGGAGAAGAAGGTCTTTCTTCAATGGTGTTCTTTCACACTGAAAATTTCGGGTAAATATCCTTGTTTGTTATCAAGACTGAGCCTCTCATACAGCTTACCCAGTTATTCTAGTGAAAAGCATAATGCCTTAGTCTTACTCTGGAGAGGTGTGTTTCTAAAGGTCTGTGCTTTTGGGTTTTGGTTTGTTTTACTTAAGAAAAAAAGATTATAATAACCTGTGGGATTCAGGCGTGGGTAAGCTGTTACTCAAGACTGGTGTTGATGGGGAAAGGTGATTAAAATTTTATTTACAATTTTCAGTGACTTAAAATACAAAAGGCTTTGTTTGATTTATTTCATTATACTTGTGAACTGTATGAAAATATTTCTTATCACAGTGCTTAGACTTTAAGCTTGGTGCTGGCTATTTACCTAATTAAAATAAAATTGTGTGTTTTTCCTTCACTGTGTAATAAGTGAGAAAATTAGATATGTAAAAGTGAATTAGAATAAAAATTGAAAAATTGTTTTATATGTATTTTTCTTTTGTGAAATAAAGGTTGGTCATTTATAGCATAAATGGGATTACTTTAAAACTTGTGTTTTGGTGTCAGGAACTCTTTAAAGAAAATGAATGAATAAACTAGAGAGGTTTAAAAAGTCATGTATAAACTTACTTAGGTAAAGGTGAACTTACTTGAAAATGCAGGTCTGTAGTCCCTTACCCACAGTTCTGATGTATATAAAGAGCTCTGAAAACCAAGTATTTGATAAAACTTATTTGATGGTAACATCTGACCTGATCTGGTAATAGAATATTTGTAAGTCAGTTCATTTCTTTTGGTGTAAATAGTGATAGCTTTCCTTGGAGAAATATTCATGTGTTTTATTTTTGATTTCAGGGTACTACCTCAGACTCACTGGAGGGTCTTCAGGAATATATTGGATATGGTATATGTACTTTAGTACCACCCTAAAATCCAAAAAATTCCAAATTCAGACACATTTTTGCCCCAAGTGTTGACTAAGTAAGGAAATGTAGGCTTATATACAGCTTAAATAGTTTAATAATTGAAATAGTGGTTAATTATCTTGAAGCCTGAGTTGTTGTTTTGGTTTAGTCCTGATCAGATAGCCCTCTTTTCCCATTTTGAATTCTGAAATACTCTAAATATTAAGAGAATATAGTAAGCAAGTAAGAATTATGAGGCATAAAAAACATTCATGAAATCACCAGTCAAGTTAGTGAGTAGAACACTACTAGCCTTTAGAAGCTCCCTGTGTGCAACTGCTATGGTTTGATTCAGACTCCCACATCCTCTCCCATGTACTACCCTGAAAATGTTTTTATTATTCCTTTGCTTTATTTCATAGATTACCACATTTGTATGTATCCCTAAGCAATGTTTGTTCTTCTTTTTTTTTTTAACTTCATGAAATTTAAAACACTTGTATACTTTTGTGACTTGCTTTTTTCAGTCAAGTCGATCTAAGATTTCACCCACATCCACATTGTGGTTATTCATTTTCACACCACCATAATACATTGCTCCAATCTACTTGTTGAATATTTAGATTGTTTTTCAATTTTTTTAGTACTATGGAAGTTGCTGGGAATGTTCCTGAAGTTTCATTCATGTGAAATTTCTGTAGGCTATGGTATATATCTAGGAATAGAATTATTGGCTTTTAAGATATGCTGAGTTCAACATAACAAGGTAATGGGTAGAGTTTAAATTTCCCCCAGCATTTTAGTATGGGAAACTTCAACGTATAGTAAAGTTGAAAGAATTGACAAATGGTTTGCTATATTTGCTTTATTACATCTATTCATTCCTTTATCCACCTATCAATACATTTTAGTTTCTTTTGATTCACTTAAAGTTGCAGATACTGATTCACTTCTCCTTTAAACAATTCAGCATGCATTAAGTAGAATTCAGTATTTAGTTTTTTTAAAGATTAAGTTTACATACAGTGAAATGCACAAATCTTAAGTATGCCATTGATGAGTATGGACAAATGTACACATCTGTGTAATGTAAATTATTATCAAGATATAGGACATTACTACCAATCCAGAAACCTCCCTCATAAGCCTTTTCAGCTAATTCCAAACC